CCTTTTACAGTTGTTCCTAGATAATTCTTACCCCGAATCCTTACTTAGGAAAATCATCTTTAACACATCCTCTGTTATACTCAACACACAAGTAAACCCTTCCCAAAATACAGGTGATATGAAAATTACCTCTGTTTCCCACTCACTGACTAACAATATTCCTAATATATCTTTTGCATCACTTCCATTTATTAAGGACGTCACTCCCAAATTGACCAGAATTTTTGCTCAATACCTACCAAATGTAAAAATTGCTTATAAAAGCACTCTAGTTGTGGGATCTCTGTACAAGTCATTGAAAGATAAAGTACCAAACTTAGATAAAAGTGATGTGGTCTACAAACTTAATTGTTTAGACTGTGAAGGTTCTTATATAGGTCACACCTCCCAAAAAGTTTCCAGCCGTTTAACTTTTCACAAGAGTGACATTAGGTTACACCCTGATAGATGTTCCCTAGCCACACATGTTAACACAACAGGACACTCTTTCGATTTTCCAAATGTGAAAATCCTATCCACGGAGAGCAATTATTCAAAAAGATTGTTTCTCGAGATGGCTTTCATTTTTCAAGAAAAAGAAACCGTTAATAAAAAGACAGATACCAAGAATTTAAGCAACTTATATTCATTATTGTTAACTTTAGATAAACATGAATCTACTAATACAGACAATTCATCGTCAACAATATAAGTTTAATTATATATGAGATATACAATATCTCTCCTATTTCTAAAATAAGTCTTTTCATCTTTTCTTTTTCAATAAGTTCAGCTTCTATCAGGTATACTATCACCTTTACATCGTTATCATTTAAGATCTAACGTTCTGTCGTTTCAAGTTGGTAGCAACGAATTCACAAGCAATTCTTTTGTTTCTGATAAGAATATTTATAACCAAAATTTTATATTGTGACTACGTACATGTTTTGTAACTATTTTAACATAATTTTATTTAAATGTTGATGTATGTGTGTTCCAAGTGTTTTATGTATGTTAAAGAACGTTTTAAATCAATTTTTGGATAGTTTTCGCCATAGTTATAGGGGTCAAATGAGTTCCCAGTTTCATTTAATAAACATCAAGACAACAAACCTCAATTAGTGTAAGAGGCAAAGTAAGTCTTACTCTGTAATTTATACTAATTCTGTTTATTGTAGCACCCTGATGATGCAAATAAAGATTTGCGAAAGCTTGGTTAACTAAAAAGAGTACTTCTTTGTCCCATCTTCCGCTGCACACCCAAATATTGGAGTATTGTATTCTATTTGATCAGCGTTGATTACAAGCGTTCATCGCTTTTTCAGTATATATATATTATATATATATATATATATATATATATATATATATATATATATATATATGTGTGGACTGTTAAGCCAGGCTAAAGAGCAGTATTCCGCGGTTGAGAAGACTAGGCCCAGAGCAGATGATCGCAAGGTGTAAGCAGATGCTTCTCATGTTGTAGCATCCACCTCCATAGGAAAACACATATTGGCATAAAGTAAATTTTGATGTTTGAGCTATTTTCTACCTTATGTCAAAACTTCACCCAAATACATGCACATAAAAAGAATTTTGAACAGGAAACCATCAGATCCTGAACAATATAGTTGTTTCTTTTTAAATAATTTCATTTATAATAGAGTTTTGGTATACTTTTTTACTACTTTAAATTTTTTTTGCGTTTTTCTTCATTCAGTAAATATATAATTAAACATAATTTTTAAAGCTCCCTGTTTTACGATATCTTAAAGACAATAAAAAACCAAAAACAATACTCCATTGGCAAATAACTGTAAATTGTCAAGCAGGCGTAATATTGTTTTACCGTAAAATATTTTATCCACTTTGACCTAACTGCGGACTAAAAAAGGTCAACAACAGGAAAGAGCAAATTGAAATACGGCTATATATTATGTTAAAAATTTAAGGATATTGAAAATCGATTTTGTTATATTAGGTAAAACGTATAATGCTGGAAGGACGGACGGTGACATTTGGGGTCAACAAGTAATTTTCCGTCATTAATAATGTACTCAGTGGTAAATATTACTTAATTTATTATATTAAGCAATTAGTGACAATTAGACGTATTTTATTGTGTACTCGGAAATAAACGCTTCTTTTTTATTAGATTACGACGAGAATATATGCGATTAATTTAGTGGATGGTCTATAACACGGGATATGAAAATAAGAGAATAAAAAAATTAAGACACTTGGATAACCATTATTCCTTTTATTACTGATTTCATTGTAGGTAAATGAAACTGTTCAAAATAAGTTTAATGATATTCGTTGATATCTAAAGACCTTACATGGCGATTAATTTTTTTCACACTGTTGCGGGTCTTTGTATCCTTAGAAAATACATGGTACATATATTTCCCATTAGCGTTAAATGGTGGGATAAATAAATCCCATAAGTAAACAATAAGGAAATAAACTTATTTTTAAAATAAAAAAAGTACATTACACAAAAAAAAAACACTACTTCTCATGAATAATGTGATAAAAAACAATTTTTGTATAGAGACACATTGCACGCTGTGCAAATAGTCGTAGTGAGAGATTGTGATTTATTCAATAACAATTGTGTGACACCTCGTAAGCGTTTGTACCAAAAAAAAAGAGAAGAATCTGCAGTAGCATTGATGCATTCTGATATTGTTTGTATATACTAGCTTTATGCATCTTAAGACCATCGATATTAAACATATATCTACAAATAATCCTTCCTTTATATTCTGTGAATCTACAATAAAAGATATTTTATTTAGATTGTTGAAATGCTTGTTAAAAGTTTTTTACAGTTTGAGTCTTTAAATGAAACACGTACTGGAAATCTTTAGCCACTGTTTAGTAATAATCCGGATAGAGAGAAAAAGAAAAAAACGAAAATTTATTAAATTGAACCAATTACGCAACAAATATAAAGACAGTAATACATTTTTTATCGTGATTATTAAGAAAATTATTTAACTAGGAATAAGCCACAATTAAAGATAAAAATACGTTTATTGACGTTTCAATTTCCACTTCGGAAATCGTTCTCAAAATACAAACAGTAAATTAAAAAATTTTGTCTTTTGTTACAGAGTTAAAAATTCTTCTAATAATTTAATTTTATCTGACTCACTTATATTGACAATTTAGACATACATTATGCATTTTAAAGTACACGACTTTAAAATGATATTGCCAATATTGTTGAGTTGCGCTCCTGGGACGACTTTACTTATAAGATAGTTCATTCGATTACATGAAATCAACTTTAACTTGAGAATATCCGTCAGAAAAAAATCATAGCATGTAATTCGTCTTTAAAAAGACAAACACATGACATGATGACAGTAAAATTCTCCTGTTAGTGATTCCATAGTAAATTATGAGGGATAAACCAGGAAAAAAAACCTCATAATACTATCCCGACATTGTAAGTATTTGTTCGTGAATTTAGTTTACCTTCAACAAACATCAAAATTCTGATTTTATATGTTACGCTATTTAAAAAACATAAATGATGTATCCTCTATATGTTACTGACTTACTAATACTGGTATTTTCTTATTAATAGCTTCCTCTTTCAATATTGTTAACCAGATCCTACTACAGTCTGCCGAGGAATTTGCGACAGAATTGGCCTCATTTATGTAAACACGCATGGGATAATGAACATAGGGTTCAATGGAATAATTCAAATGTAGTCCTAAAAGAAACGGATGGTAAAAAAACAAAAATCAAAGAAGCGGCTCTAATTATGCTAAATGAGGCCAATTCCTCGGCAGAATGTAGTAGGATCTGATTACCAATATTGAAAGAGGAAGTTATTAATAAGAAAATACCAGTATTAGTAAGTCAGTAACATATAGAGGATACATCATTTATGTTTTTTAAATAACGTAACATATAAAATTAGAATTTTGATGTTTGTTGAAGGTAAACTAAATTCACGAACAAATACTTACAATATCGGGATAGTATTATGAGGTTTGTTTCCCGGTTTTTCCCTCATAATTTACTATGGAATCACTAACAGGAGAATTTTACTGTCATCATGTCATGTGTTTGTCTTTTTAAAGACGAATTACATGCTATGATTTTTTTCTGACGGATATTCTCATGTTAAAGTTGATTTCATGTAATCGAATAAACTATCTTATAAGTAAAGTCGTCCCAGGAGCGCAACTCAACAATATTGGCAATATCATTTTAAAGTCGTCTACTTTAAAATGCATACTGTATGTCTGAATTGTCAATATAAATGAGTCAGATAAAATTAAATTATTAGAAGAATTTTTCACTATGTAACAAAAAACAAAATTTGTTTAATTTACTGTTTGTATTTTGAGAGCGATTTCCGAAGTGGAAATTGAAACGCCAATAAACGTATTAACGTTACGTCTTTAACCATGAATTTTTGCGTTGAAAGAATATAATATAATAGGTAAACTATTATTTGGATTAAATTCAATATTCGACAATTTATTAAAAAAAATGTTTAGTCTTCGTAAATGTTTCATGTAAACGGTTGTGCAATATTAAGCTTAACTTTTTTTCTGATTTTCTTTTCATGATTTACTATAGAATTACTCTCCTTATCACAAGTGGTTGTCTTTTTAAATACAAATAACTATGGTTTTTCTGACAAATATTCGTAAGGTAAAGTTGATTTATGTAATCGAATGAACTATCTTCCACTAAAGTCGTCTCAGGAACGCAATTAAAAAATACATTGACAATTACATTTTAAATAACTTGTTTATGGATGCATATTTCCTTTTTAATAGATTATCTGTTTTAATTTATTTTCCTGTTTGGTATAACTAGATCTAGAATTACATTCATTAAAAAGTTCAAAGCAAACTTGATATCCAAAGTTATATTATATGTATGATTTATTTTTTAATAACGATTCATTTCAGTAGTGAGTAGCAATAGCGATCCATATTTTTATATAAAATAAAAAATATAAGTAAACACAAACAAATAAAAAATCAACATTTATTCGGTTTCCACTTCGGATTACAATGCACTAATATTTTAATAGGACATCCCGTTTTATCTCTATACGTCTCAAAAGCCTTTACAGAATCTTCTAGTTTAAAATGATGAGTGCCTATCGGCTTTATATTCACTTTTCTGGCTCGTAGCAACTCAACAGCATCTCGATAATCGTTTGCATACCTGAAGGATCCTATTATAGTTATTTCTTTTACAAGAGATGCTGAAAAGGGCAAGGACATTTCATCAGCGCCCATTCCTAAAAAGTTTTCAAATTATTATTAAAAAAAATTGTATCAGGGTGTACAAAAAGTCACTATTTAACTACTGCTGAAACGTTTCGGCAAATTTGCCATTTTTAATAAGCACTTTATAAACATTATTTTATCAATTGACATTGGCATTGACAGATGACATCTTGAAGGTATATTAAAATAGGAGTGGTTCAGGGTCGTATCTTAAATATCTGCTATAGTGCATTTGAGTGCACGAGATGCAAAACTCGCTAATCGACAAAAATTGAACAAAATAGTTAAGCACGCCATCTTGTTCGTACGATATTTAATTATTATTTTACACAAGTATTTGGAGCAAAACTAGCTTTTTAACACACGAAAATCCGTCCCAAAAATCATGACTTGATGCAAAACTCGCGTTATGCCTTGATGCGTGCGATGCAAAACTCTCTATTTGTACGGCGTTCAATCACAGCATCGGATTTTACTCACGTGGTTAGGGAAGGACATCATGTATTTTGTTTGTTTCCTGGTGTGGTTTGACTCAGTCGCGTTTTAGCGGTATTCTGAATTGTTTGTTTAACTTGAAATTTCCCGTTTTTAAAATTATTAAAATGCAAATAGACAGTGAAATTTCTGCAGCCAATGATAGTGTTAGTTCTGCAATACAACCTACTCCAAAGAACATGTTTACATGACGGTCAGCCAGGTAAGACATACTTTTGTGCCACTTTAACAATGAGTGAAATTGAAGATTTTCATAGAGAACTGTATGCTTCTAAGGAAAAATGTAGACAAGATAGTTTTATAATTGCAACTTGTGAAGGCCAGAAGTGCAAAAGATCAAAAGTGGAAAAGGAAAAAATATCCATTTTGTATTATGTAACCACTTCTGCTAAAAAAATCCGTGTTTGTAAGACGGCATTCTTAAAAATCACATCCCTTAGTAGAGATCGGATTGAGAGAGTCATGAAAAACTTTGTTTTAAAAGGGAATATACCACAAGAAACAACAGGAGGTGATCGCATACTTAATAAAAACGAAAATAAAAAGTTAGCAGTAAAACATTTCATTGAATCTCTCCAATGCATAGAGAGCCATTACTGTAGAAGTCAAATCAGTACTCGTATTTATTTACCATGTGAACTTAATTTTACAAAATTATGGAAAATATACGAATCTAAAGTTCGCGATAACCAACTACATGTTAAACTGGCATTTTTTAGGACATACATAAATTCTAATTACAACATCGGATTTGGCAACCCAAAAACTGATTTATGCTCAACCTGCTTAAGATCGAAGGAAAAGTTAAAAAACAAAAATATTTCTAGTTCAGAAAAGCAAATTATTATCACCGAGCAACGGATACATAGACTTAAAGCAAAGGCATTTTTTGCCTCATTAAAGCAGCCGCTAGAAAATACAGCGGTTTTTTCGTTTGATTGTCAGAAAAATTTGCCTTTGCCGAAGCATTCGGATCAAGCTAGTTATTTTAGTCAACAAATTACCTATTACAACTTTACGGTAATTCATGGATCATCAACAGCACAGTTGGTTTCAAAAAATGTTTATTCTTATGTTTGGACGGAGGTTGATTTTCCCAAAAATTCTAATTCGATAGCTTCAGCTGTTTGGGATGTACTGAATAAGTTTAACTTTCCCAATGAAATCGATACAATTCGTTTATTTGCTGATGGATGTGGGGGGCAAAATAAGAATATTATAATGATGACCATGCTTTCTGTTTGGTTGATGACGAAAGCTCCCAAAAACATAAAGACCATTAACATAATATTCCCCGTAGTAGGACATTCTTTTATACCACCTGATAGGTTGTTCGGAATAATTGAAAGAGAGGTTAAAAAGAAATCCATTATTTTAAAAACTTTTGACTACGAAGATATTATAGCAAATAAGTCGACAATTAGAAAATTGGGTTTAGATTGGCAGGTGTATGACTGGAAGAATGAAACACAAGTAAACATCAAAGCACCATCCTCATGGCACTTTCAGTTTAATAAGGCTAAAAGGTTTGTGCTTACTAAAGGGAAAACCAATGCACTAATACGAGGTGAGCCCAATTATTGTGTTGACGTCGGTGAAGCCAAGTCTGTTGTCAAGAGAGGAATAAAATTGACACGTATCAATCCTACTCAACTTCCTATCGGCTGCAAACTCAAAGGCGATAAATCAACAATAATTTCTCTTCTCAAAAAACATTATGGAAATGCCTAAGAAGAAAATCCTGATGTGGTTTTCTTTAAAGAAAATCTTGTTAACCCTCGAATGGTAGAAAACCAAAATTCTGTAAACGATGTTGAAGCTGGCTGCAGTGGTTTAAAACCTTGCGATATTAATTTACCAATTTAATGTAATATATAAATCACTGTTTAATTTCTTTGTGAATAAAATTTGTTTCAAACTATTGATGTAACATTTTTTGGTGCAAAACTCGCTAAATGCATTCTTTTTTCTTCATTTATTTAAAAAATCTGCACTATTTTTTTAAAATATGTTAAAAACTATTAGAGGTGTATATGTTCTAAAGGCACGCTAACATCATTAATTGGTTATTAAAAAATATAATGCAAAAAACGTTTTTTGCACTTTTCTCAAATTGACTTTACATGCATTAAGCGAGTTTTGCATCTCGTGCACTGATTTAAAAACAACTCAATTTATCAAATTATGATACACACCGGAAAGATCTTTTATGCCAGTGTTATTATTGTGTGAATCATCTCCAATATGCATATTTTGTTGTAATTCTGTCCTTTTTCCAAAATCTGTACATTTTTAAAATGGAAAGAATGGCTAATTTCTAAACAATGTTTTGGCTAGGGTTGTTGTGCTTAATGCATTGATTACAATTGTACACTATATTTGTGTGCAACAATCCTTCTATGTGGGTATTGGTGTGTTTGCACAATATATGTTGAATTACAGTCTTTACAATTTATTTTATAAATAACATTTGATTGATGGTATTGATGAACCTTGGGTTTAACTTTTGAAAAATATGTTCCAGGTGTTTTTGCTAATTTATGTCCAACATTAATATCATACTTTGTCAAAATTTTTGACATTTGTTCAGAAAATCCAATAATGTATGATAAGGATATATACGTTTATTTGTTTGAGTTAGTGACATTATTATCCCAGATTTAGCCATACGGCTCACAGTCCCTCGAAGGGGAAAATTCACTCATCCCATATACCTACGGTATCAAAAGGATTAAGCTCTGGTGGGACTTTTTTCGTGTTTTCGAGCAATGGGAGGCTTGGTATGTTGAAGTATCTCCCAAAAATTTTCGTACACATCTGGACGTCGCGAGGAGTACAGCTTTCTACATGGCCTTAGAGTGATGTTCATTTAGACCCAGCTGTTTTATATTCTCTAGAAGGTTTTTGTAAATAACACCAGTAATAGATAGAATAATAGGTACTGTTTACGCATTTTTCATTCTCCATTGTATCCTGATTTGTATTTCTAGATCTCTGTACTTGGCGATGTTTTCGTTGTATTTAACACGTAAATTATTAGTGTTGGGTATCGCCACATCAATAAGTGTTGTTTGCCTAGTAAGTTTATTAACTAGTATGAGATCCGGTCTATTAAATGCCACTGGTTGGTTTGTAAGCGTAGTGCAGTCCCAGTACAGCTTGTAGTTGTCATTTTTAAGCATTCTGTCAGGGACGTATTGATAATAAGGGAGATGGTCGGTTTGGAGAAGTGCCAGTTTGTCAGCTAGTTCTTGGTGGATAATCTTTTCTACTGAGTCATGGCGTTCTTTATAATCAGCACCTACAAATACCTCGCAGCCACCGGTAAGATGTTGGATGGTTTCTTGGGCTTGGCATCCATATAGGCATTTGTCATTTTGGACTTAAGAATGTTTAACAATATATTTCAGGTAGTTTTTAGTTGGAATAACCTGATCATAAATGGCAAGTACGAAGCCCTCAGTCTCGGGAAACATCTTTCCTGATCTCAACCAATAGTTCGACGCTGTATTGTCGACATATTCTTGGCTGATGTCATTGAGATGTCGCAAATGCAGAGGTTTGCTCATCCAGGTGTGCATTTTTTCTTGCTGAGTCAGGTGGTTTATGCGCATTTCTTGTTCCCTCAGTTTAAGCGGCGTTGTATCATCTACTGCGCAAATTGCTCGATGTAAAGTAGTTGTCCCAGCCTGTACCTGTATTGTACTGTACTGTATATTAGATTATTATTAATAATATTATTATAATTGCTAGGTATGGTTTGGATTTGTTTTGGTTGGGTGTCGGAATTAAATTGATTTCTGATAATATAACTAATTTTTTTAATTAGAGGGTTGTAAAATTCTGGTGAATAATTTTTTTTTCAAAATATCTTTAACTTTTCATTTTGTGTAATAGTATTGTGGACTAGATAGCTTAATTGGTCTGTCAGTAAGACTGAACACACCTCTTTTATGGGCTATAGGTGCGTTGGTATTAAAATTTAGATATCTTCTGGACCAAATATCTTTTGTAAACCAGTTAGTTTTTATCATTCGGTTAGTGTTGTTATACACTAAACTTAAATCAAGAAAAGTATTTTTATTGTTTTCTTCTAGTTCATAAGTAAAATGAATGTTATTATATAAAATATTGAACATTTGAAAAGTATGATCGATTTCATGACCTGAAATGCAGAGAAAGCAATTATCAACATATCGTTTGTAGAAATGTCAGTTGTATTTCAATTTAAAGATTTCAACAAGCAAGTTAGATTTATTATTATTATTATAACATAAGCGAGGGCAGAGGAACTAAGTCCCTATTATGCCCAACAACAAAGAAATTTCATTAATCACCTACTAGTAAATATCAAAAGTTACAAATTAAAGAAATAAAATTACAACTTTATGGTTTAAAAGAAAAACAATATTTTAACTATAATATAAAACGGTCAAGTCTGATTTTGAATGAATTGATAAAGAGAGCGGAGACAATGTTATCGTTAAGGTTATTCCAGCACTCAAAAACTCTATTT